CATTGGGCTTGATCGCATTGCCTAGCATTTAGCAGCTGGGTGAACAACGGATGAGGATTTCTCAACAACGGGTTATATTCGCTCTGGTCAGAACAAATGGTGAGGATGCGCGTAGTTTTTTGTGTGAGTACGGGAGATGGATTCGACTAAAGGGACAGTGGGGTGCAGTCAGCAAAACCAACCTGCGACGTTATCAGAGGGGATAATATTAAAGGTGGATTCCAAGTCAAGGATGGAGGACAAAGAAGGGGAAATTACTTAGTGGAAAGGCAGGCGGAGCTTTTAAGGTTGCGAACCGACACGCCATCGGAAGGACATGCCCCGCGATCATGGCCTTCCTCGCGACGCTATTGGCGCAGTATGCCCCCTCTGCTGTCTGATCCCTTACCCTCCTGGCAGAGCGTTAGCGTTGAAAAGGCAGCAACGGTGAGAGTCGCACCGATCGGAGCACATCGGGTGGTCTTAGAATCAAGTACTACAGAAGTAGTCATAATGGTGAGGGTTGTGGTGGGGATTGGAAAGGTAGGAGGGTCGTTCGTTGGAGCAGCTCACGTGTGTTGGTAGAGCTCGCATCGAGACAGCCCTGGGATGAGGGGGCGGTGAGAATTTCCAAATTTCTCAAAGTCTTGCCCCTGGTGTCATCCTCGCTCGGTGGTACGGACACGTCATGCGATTTTTCGATGACCGTTGGACCAGAGCGGTTACCGACTGGATCCCTCGGGACGTCAAACGAACACCTGGACGACCGCCGGCCCGATGGTCAGACTTCTTCACGAAAGCTCTGAACGAAAGGAATGAAGGACTTCGTGTCCCTCGAGCGAGGAGGGTCCACTGGACAACTCTTGCACGCGACAGGGACGAATGGAGACGTTGCTGGCGCCCGCTCGAGCAAATCGATGATCAACGGGACGACAGGTGATACAGGTGATAAGTTTTGGTTGATCCAAAGCAACTGGTATCACAGCACTGTGTGAAATAAAAATTCAAATGGGAGGTGTTTGTACCAGTTCTAAAACGAGAAAACTCAGGCAGATTCTGGGAGACTTTCGATCATTATCGGGACATACAAGAGCCGGCAAATATCAGTGAACATACTCTCAGACAGCTAAGAGTTAGTGCGAATCTGTAAACTAAAGGGGTGTTAGAACTATGCAACATTTTAGCCATTCAGCAGAAAAATGATGGTAAGAGCTCCGAGGATGCAAGCAGTATTAGGTTTTACGTTAGCCCTCCTTCGAGCTTGACGAAAATGACAGATGACGTCATATTCTGAAGACGGGGGCAGTTAAGGAGGGTCTGCGCCTACTTATAGAGGGACATTCAAGGAATATTTTGCTGAGGAACTTCCTTCGTCGACGGCAGTCTCGGCGACGAAAAGCAGGGCCGAAGTGAAAATCGGCAAAAATGTCTGGCCCTGTTTTTCCCCCCCCCTGTATACACGAAACCTTTTATACCTCTCAGACGTTATCCTCGCACTCGTTCGGCCCTCTCCTGCAGGGAGTGGAGGGGAGTTGGGTTCAGCCCAAGCGAAATCCAATCTCGCGTTGGATGAACGATGGGTGTAGTACGCAGCGTCACTTGCCACTACACTACCCCCCCCTTAGCATTTTGAATGCGTCAATAAATTGCTCTTGTTTTTCTGCATCCGTTGAAAAATACTCAAGAATTTTTCTAGATGGATGGAATCGTGAAACACACAAGTATAAACGTGAGGAGCACGGCAAATGGCGTCTGGTCATTCCTCCGAACTCTGATGGGTCGTGCCCGATTCCACATGGATCCATTGTCAAGGTATAAAAGCTTTTCAGCAAATTCCTATTTCCATTTTTCATATCGCCTCAATCGAACTTTTAACTTCAATTCTTTGATTCGTGACCTTTTGGAAAACATATCTTACAGATCGCTGTCACAAAGAATGGTAAAACTATGGACAAACTCAGTCCATGGGCGGCTTACGTCACTCGACCAAAGGATACTGTAGTCTATCATCAGGTAGGACATCTATTGACACATTTTTATTTCCTTGGTTGGGCATTGTTCAACATCCAGTGTCTCAAAAGAAGGGAAAGCATGACAAATCACACCGTTTAGATTCCTAGTACCGTATTTGAGTTACTTTTTTATGCATTTTAGAGTTCATTTATCTCCCACTCCATTGCTAAAAAGTCACTAGCCATCGGAGAAGAGAAATAGTGAGCCTCAGGGTGAGCCTCAGGGCACATCCGGTACCACTACTATGTATAGGATGCGCAGCCAATCTCAACTATTACTGCTTTCTTTTTCTAATCCATTTTCAGGAGCTGTCGCGGATATACGCTTAAGCTCCATTTCTGCTTTTCCCAAACTACTTTGGCGTTTGTGTAGTTGACCATGTAGATCATTTGGGCGGCTTGCCAAAAACATTGTCGTTGACATGCATTGTGTTTTACCTTTGCTTGTGCTGAAATACGAACTGAAGGTCATAATTCCATCAACACTCCTGTAGAAAGCACCCATTTCCTTCTCTATCCCCGCCCTTTCATTGGTGACACTGAGCTTTTCCCAGTTCATTACTACATTCAGTTCCCCCGAACCGACGGTAATATTGCGTTTTATCTTTACCTTAGCTTAGGCCTGTACCTACAGCGAAGCTGGACGTAGCTGATGTTCACCACTTTTCGAATTTTCTAATTTTCCTTGATTTTCAGCAATTCTACAACCCTCCCAACAAGTACAAGCTCGTACACCCACGACCCAAGCGGCCGGCATCATTGCGTATCTACGAAGCTCATGTCGGTATCAGCAGTCCTGAGGGAAAAGTGAACACCTATCGAGCATTCGCCGATGATGTCATTCCACGAATCGTCAAGCAAGGTCAGGAAATCCACTTTGAAATGTATAAAAGTACATAGTTACGAGATAGGGACAAGAAGGGGTAAGCACTTGCGAATGAAGCTGTGATACTGCAATGATGTGCAAAAATTGTTCGGAATTAGCTTTCCTTCTGAGCTTGAGTAGTCACAGTAGCAGAGAAGGGCGAATAAGTGATGTTGATCGTAGATTTTTCCGAATGTTCTAGATAGTAAATTATGGTTTTCAGGTTATAATACGATTCAACTGATGGCTGTGATGGAACACGTTTACCTATGCATCTTTTGGGACCAATCACAAGTGTCTTTCGCTCAGCCATGAGTTAGAGCGATCTTCGGTGAATTGATTAGGTTACACCTAGCTGCGTTAAAGGCTCCAACGTTACTTATGTATTTGAAATCTTTCAAACTTTTTTATTTACTGGCCGCGGCTAGCTGCATACTTGTTTGGTGTCCACTAACTGGCGCCTAACGCACCGTTTCGGCTATTCAGCGTGCTTCTCCAAGACTGGTTGCCCTAGAAGTTAAAAAGCAGGACGACATATTTGACACCCCAAGCCAGAGAGCGATTTTGCGTAGAGACTTGATTCATGGCGCATCTCAAAAAAACTTCAATAGAGATGAAACAACCGTGAAATAATTTTTTACTTCCTAATTTTCTTTATTGTTTTCCTAGGTTTTGGGATGTTTTCATAAAAATGCAAGTCAATCGGCTGTTGGCGTTATGAGCAAGCAAGTAAATAAGTAAACAAACATGAGTCTGGAAAACAAAACAGTCTGATAAATTTTTATCCAAGTGAACTTCATTTATACTTTTCGTTACAGTCGCTGTGGACCACCAGACGATGTCAAATACATGGTCGATAAGGCGCATTCGATGGGCCTCACTATCCTTCTTGACGTGGTACGTTCAATTTTTATCCGCGAATTTTGGCTTCTTCAAAAATTCATTCCATTTGATTTTTGATTGCCGCTATTATTCGTTTATCTCCTGGGCGACAACACGGCTTATGCTGTCCTCCTCCTTTCGTTTCTTTTGCACAAATTTCCTCCGCGCTTTCTTATCTTACGCTATCTCTGTTCCTCTCACTCGATCGTTTTTTTCATGATCCGCTGTCCGCTTCTCAAATATCCCAATTTTTTGATCACATTTTTCTCTAAACACTAGTAGGATCATATTCCTTCGAATATCACGCCTTCAGCTAAAGGTTTAAGGATCAAGCTGATGTTCCGACCCTAGGTCAATAATGGGATGTGGCATGCGTCTCGGTTTCCTTCAGGGTTGTGAAGGCTTTTGAATGCCAATTCTGGTCAAAAAATAGTCATTTTGAGGAGCGGAATTTCTAGAATTCTCGCTCCTAAAGGTCTTCTAAACGATCCTAATAGTGTGAATGGGTCGCATGATCCGTGCTTGTCTTGTTCCACATTAGGCTGCCTAGGCTGCAGTCTCCGATTACTACAAGTCTATGGTCTTCGTAAAATCAGCTAGCAGCATTTTCAAATTATATAACAACCAACTCTGGCTTCTGCGAATTAGAAGTTTGCTTTCGTCCTTGAGAAAAAGGACTGCTCTTAAGCATCGCCCATAAAACTGCTTGGTCTTGTACTGGCTTGGAGTGGTCTTGTAGACATGGTGCTGCCCTGCAAGGAGTCTCAACTTTCCCCAGGCTATCCAAAGCCCCATACTTCCATGATCCAGTGGCGGATAAAGGTTAGATAGAAAGGGGAAAACGTGGAAAGGAATCCTCGATCACCCAGGAAATCATTATATGGGCGGCTTATTCATTCCAGGAAAAACCTGAAATGAATTACCATATATATCCACAGCTGACACCTGCATGACAATAAGCCGAGATTGTGATCTCTCCTGAAATCAGCTGCACGCTACATTCCATATGGTTCAGTTGTGAGCTATCTTGATGGCTGGGAGTGGTGTAGCGGTAAGTGGCGCCATGTACTGGGGTTCGAATACTGGGTCGTACGCCATGCAGGCCAAGTAAGCTTCCATCTATCCAGGGTCCTGGGTCGGTGAATGAGTATCAGATGCCTGGGATCAAATCTCTGACTTGTACATACATCGGCAGGCCCCACAAGTGGTGCAGGCCAGATCGCTTTCGAAAACCTAGTCCGTCCAGAATGGGTGTAGAATGTACGGCGAATTTTATGAAGGGATTGACCGATGTCGGATGCTCTATCCTTTATTTTTGTCTTTTTGACATGAAAATACCACTTTGCTCTCATTTTGAAAGCGAAATTTTTCTTGCTAACCTGTGTGGGAAGCATGAAGCATTTATTTGAGGCTATTTTTAATGATAACAAAATTCCAGGTTCATTCTCATGCGTCAAAAAACGTCGCTGATGGTCTCAATGAATGGGACGGTACCGATAGCTGTTACTTCCACAGCGGTCCTCGAGGAACTCACACACTGTGGGACTCGAGGCTCTTCGACTATACTCAGTACGTCACTAATTTAGCTCTTTCGTGGCGCTTCTTACCTGCGGTTAAGTTTCTAAAATATAATAAAATAAAGGATAAAAGCATTTGCCGTTGATTAATCCCTTTTTTGGGACTCAGCCGCATTCATTACTTCCATTGTAGATCTTAGTAGTGGTGTTTAATGCGTGTAGCTAAGCAATGACGTTGTGGGGACCAGCTCTAATGTAACCAAGTCAGTGTTTTTATCCTCCCAGACAAGTCTGGTACCAATTAATTAACGACCCGGAGGGATGGAAGGCTTGGCTGGCCCGGGCGACTCACGACCCAGGATTTGATCCCAGGACCGCTCGCGTGGTAAGCGTGCCACTTCCCACTACACCACTTCCGCCCTTCTAAAAGCCTCGCAAAAGCGCCCTTGTCTCACGCGGTGCAAAAACCCAAAACGCGCGATGTCGTCAACGTGTTAATAGTCTCCGCTGACGAAGTGAATAAGGCTAACCTTGGTGGCAGGTGGCTTACGTTCCTTTTCCTTCTTATGGTTAGGGAACATGCGGAATGCGGAAGCTTCCAATTTTCCGTGACTTAGATGTCTTCGTGGCGCACAGGATCTCATGTGTGGCGACCAATAGTATATGGCTTTCATATTACTTGCTTTATTAACCAGTATGCAGGAGACGTACTATCTATATACATGTCATCTAAACCATTACATATAGATCAAATCCACTTTACCTTCCGACTTTTCCAGACTTACACTTCATTCGGTTCCAGGAATCTCCAGACATTTATTTCGTTCATTGTTGAAAGTGGTCAACTATAACACCTCTCATTTTTGTAATGATGTGTCTCTATCTGCAAAAACTAAGCAGTTTTTGGTTCTTTCGTTGCACGAAAGTTTAATAAATTTTTTTGCGATAGAAAGGAACCGAAAACCGAAGCTCAAATAGCAAGACCAATGGAATACTTTTTCTAAAAAACGAATTCATTAATTATTCCGGTCCGCTTAAATCAACGATCGGCGATTTTTGAATTCTGTGGGAGCGATTTCTTATTTGTTTTCGTTGAATTGGAATACTGAATTTCATTCTTGAAGAAAAATGTTTCGAGGATCTGAATGGGGAGGGTGAAGGGAAGTAATTGAAAATTGTGAGATGCGGTGTTCTAAATGTACCTCACAAGTAGTGAAATTACGAAAATTGCTCGGTGAGTTGGAGATTATCTTCTCTTGTTCTTCTTATGAACAGCAGGTGACGACATCTCCGTGATGTCTGGCTCTTATGTAGCTGATTCCCTCTATCTATGTCCGCGGAATTGAATCACTAGCTAACACTAGAATAGTAATGGGGGGGGGCGGGGCGGGAGCGCACTGGGAAGTGGATCGGCGTGTTGAAGGGTGATGGTCAACGAAGCCGTTACACTACGTTATTAATGGACGCAAGAATGCTCCGTTGCGTCCCTCTGCATGCGAACAGCCCGTCATTTATCTGTCATGTACCGACTTGTAGGCATCATAGTAGTTCGAGGAAATAATTCACGTCATATGATGTTGACTTACTGTGCTTAAGTCGAAAATTTATTATTGGATTTGGATTTTGGAACATTTGTTATGATGTTTGGGAACGTTGCTTACGATACAATAAGATGGCTAAAAGTAAACAAAATGATCTGTCAAAAAAAAAATAAATGAGAGAGTGGAGTTGTCCGGAAATTTCACGTAGCTGTATCCGGCCCAGCGCCCGACACGTCCATCGTCGCTGTGCACTGGAACAGGATAGACCGGCTACACGACACAGGAGTTTATCCATTGTACATTCACCAACAAATTCCAGTGCTCAAGCGCCACTTACAGAAATGCGAACGCCGCATCCGGCCGGCGCGTGACCTTTCTGATGTGATATACTCGTAAGCACCGCGGGTTATTACCTAGTTAAAAATCTTTTGATGAGCATTTACAGTGTGAAGAGAGCTTATACCGAAGGCAAGGCCAAATGTGGGTCATTTCACCAGGGTTGAAAATAGAAAAAGATTCAATTGAATCACAGCTGTGTAAAGTATACTTAATGTTTGTACTTTTTTGTTCTTGTGCTATAGCCTGTTTCAAATTTACTCAGTCCAACAAAAGTTTTTTTTGAAAATTTCATCAACTTATTAGCCACGCTTTATTGTTATGGGATTTACTTTTCAGGATTGAAACCTTGCGCTTCTTAATGTCAAACCTTCGATGGTGGGTTGAAGAATATGGCTTCGATGGATTCCGTTTCGACGGTGTTACCTCTATGATCTACCATTCACATGGAATGAGTGAGTCGTGAGCTTTATCAGAGCTACTCACCCTGTTTCATTTTTTAGAACCCGTTTGGGTGTGGATGCTGTTGTTGACTAAGGTTCGCACTAGGCGGCACTGGAGCGTGCGGTTGCGAGCGTGCCAGTCTTAGCATTATACCGAGTGTCGAAGACTTTTCATTTGAGCGTGGTCTTTTTCCAAAAATACGCGGAAGCCAAAACTGGTGCATCTCCAATGGGGAAATATCACCGCAGCACTTTTATGGCTTGTGATGTGTTCGATTCACGTCCGACCCTAAGCCACTTTGGCGTGATATTGAGCTAGCCGCTTCGCAACCGTATGCGTGGGTGTCACGTACGGCGCCGAAACTCTATTTTTGACTTGCAACTTGCAAACAACTTGCAGAACTTGCAAACTGGGTTTGAACTTGCGGGGTCTTGAGAATAAGATTCCAATTTGTAGGTGACGACTTCGCTGGAGGATATCCTATGTATTTCGGCCTCAATGCTGATACGGACTCTCTGGTCTATCTGATGCTTTCAAATGACTTCCTTCACAAGAAATATCCGGAGATAGTAACCGTCGCCGAGGTTTGAAATCTTCAACTTTTCCATCTTTTTCTGAGAAATCATTAGTTCTTGATGACTTTTGATTGAAACATCTACTTCAGGAAGTTTCCGGAATGCCAGCCCTTTGCCGTCCCGTAGCTGAAGGTGGACAAGGTTTTGACTATCGGTTAGCGATGGCGCTGCCGGATATGTGGATCAAAATTCTCAAGCATATGAAAGATGAGGACTGGGTGATAGGAGACATCGTGCACACGTTGGAAAATAGACGGTGGGTATTCGAGGTCGCAGTTTTTTTTTTACTTCACGCCACTATTCGTTTGTAGTCTAAAAAAGAACTAGTGCTCTCTCGAAAGGCTAGACGCGGGGGACGTTTTGGCTTCGCAGGACAAGTGCGACCACAAAAAACCAGAACAATACCAAAAAATTGTTTTTCGGTTATGAGCCGACCATGATGTGACAGAAGTGTAAAATGGGGCATGTAGTGATAAATTTCATTCAGGTACGGTGAAAA